TAGACACACACACACACACACACACACACACACACACTTTCCAATTGGTGCTTCTAGGCCGTCAAACATCTCGTTGATCGCTATGATAAAGAACGTACCACTCAATAGAGAGCCTTGCGGTACATCATTCTCTAGTACGTATCTTTCTGAGATGGACTGCCCAACGCGAACGTGGAAGGGGATAAGAAGGATATAAGAAACTGGATATGAATTTTGGTAGATTTCTTATTTGTCAGTTATTTAGCTGTCTTAGAATGTTATATCGCCAGGTCATATCAAAAGCGTTTTCCAGGTCAAAGAATACGGTAACCATGTTTTCTTTTGATGAAGGTATTCTGCATTGCGTTTTCCAGATATATTAGCTAGTCTATTGTAGAATGATGTTGTCTACATTCGCACTGATGTATGTTCAGGGGGTTCTTTCTTTCAAGACACCACGTTAGCGGAGTGTTAGCCATTCTTTTCAAGATTTTTTCCTAGACAACACGTCCATGATACCGGGCGATAATTTTCAATTTACAATGGATCCTTTCCAGCCTTTAAAAGTGGAATTATTATCGCTTCTTTCCAGACTTTAGGGTAGTTACTTTGTGTCCAAATGTTATTATACATGTTTAACAAGGTAGACAATATTTCCTTCGGCAACCGACGTAGTATGCTGTAAGGGACATTGTGTGATCCTGCTGCGGTGTCTCCAGCTGCATTTATGCCGTCTTGCAATTCTCTCCATGTAATAAGATTATTCTTATCTGTAACGGTTGTAAAGTCTAGTAATTGTTCTTCTTCTTTCTTTTTCTTGAGAATGTCTTTACGATAGCTGTTTGTGTTACTGGCTCTGGAATATTGGGTCGGTAATGCGTGAGCTATTTCTTCGGGGTTGCAGATTAGTTGTCCTTCGTGTTCTATGCATGTGATTGGACTGAAAACATTTTCTCAGCTATTGACCGGATTTTCTGCCATATTTACGTGACTTTGGTCGTCCGAGGTATGGTAATTACTTGTCCAAGCTTGATCGTTTTACTGTTAGTATTTTTCTGCAGACGCTTGAAAGCAATAAGATTGTCTGGGGTTGGTGCACGTCTAAAGCTATTCAGGGCTCTTCTTTTCTCCCTTATTGCTTCTTTGGTCTCCGTATTCCACCATGGTACTGGAATTCTAGAAGAGCGGCCACTAGTCTGTGGAGTGTATTTTACTGCGGAAGATATTGCAGTGTTGGTGAAATCTGTAACGTTTTCTCTGTGTTTCCAATGACATTTATTGGTGATATACGTCTGGGTAAGCTGGACCAGTCTGCACAGTTGGTACACCAACGTTTCGGTTAATATACTGCGTTCCTTTGTTTAATGATATCAACAGAACAAAGTGATCACTCTGATGAAGATCTGGCAATGGTTTCCGCGTTAACCGTGTTGCAAGGTTTGGACTACATACTGAGAGATCTGTGGCCGAGAATGAGCCGTTTCTAGCATTAAGATGAGTGTTTGCTCCTGTGTTTAAAAGTACGTATTCGTTGTAAAGTAGCAGGTCATCGATTCTGCGACCGGAGTCATTTGTCCTAGAACAACCCCATGTGGTACTGTGAGCACTGAAGTCGCCAAGAATGAGAAATGGAGGCTGTAGTTGATCGATAAGTTCTTGTAGGTCTTCACTTTGCATTGAGGCATCGGGTATGTATATGCAACATAACGTCATTTTCAATGACTTGTATAAGGTTACAGTTACTGCTTGTAGAGGTGTGTTGAGATCGAGACGACTATCAGGGTGTGTATTGCTGATCAATATAGCAACACCACTTCTAGCTCGACTATCTGGTTCTACGTCACTTCGAAAGGTCTTATAACATCTAAAATTGAACTGGTCTTCAGGTTTAAACTGGGTTTCTTGCAAGCACACACAGGTGTGTGATTGGTCAGTAGCAATTTCAGCTTACAATAAGGCAAGATACAGCCATTAATAATATTGTCCGTGGTTGGAATGAGGTTCTGCTGCTCTTAGTGTGCGGATGCTGCTTATTTTCTTGGTTTTCCTCTTGGACATCCTTTCTTTTTTTCTTCTTACGCGAGATTTTGCTCGGATTGATGGCCTGGTAATAATTATTTTACGCAGTTATCATCGAACTTGTCTCAGAGCCAGTAGTTGTGTCTTGATCATCGGTGGGGGATAATTTCGTTTTTTTTTTTTGAGGAAGTCGTACTTGGTATATTTTGGAGGACGAGGTGATCGATTTTGATAGCCTTTTGCCGATACTTCTTTGTTGGAAATGGCTGCAGGAGAAGGCACTGGATTTCTTTCTGCTTCATTTGGTGGGGGTCTTGAAGATTGCTTTTCATTTACTTTTTTCTTTGAGTGTTTGTAGTTGTGTGTTGATTTTGTTGCAAATTTCATTAAAATACCTTTCTATGCAGGGAATTATTACAGGTATTAGTTCTTTCACTACTAATGAAAGCAAATTGTGCTTTAGTAACTGCTTGTACGTAAGTACGACGGCCGACTGCTCCTACGTTACTTTATTTTTAGGACACAAGGATAACTGATCTTTTGTCTGGCTTTTACTTGTTGTATTGATGCCTCCAGCTAATAGATTTGGTAGTCCCTTCACCTTGATGAATGTTGTACGCAGCAATTAATACGTTTGATAGTATTTATGCATGGATCATCACTATGAAAAGCCTTACCGCAATGAAATATTTGGATTCTTGCACATGTAGATGTGGGTCTACACTGTAAGCCATAAAAGCACTGCATTGATTGACGAATGAACATGCGTAGGACCAGACGATGAATGTCGGCTTTAATCTTCTCTAGTAACGTACAACGCTTGAACGTCAGGACATGAGACGCTGAAGGAATTATCCGCCCATCTCGCCTCATTTTTAGCCTACGACAGGCTTGAGCCTACGACTCCTTGAGGAGCTAGTTCTGGAACTATTTCCTCTTCACTGTAGTTTATTCGTAGTGAGTCACTACAAACTACTACTCCTTTGCAGGTATTCAGCGTGCCACGAGCACATACTTCAACATCTATAGTGCCTATTTTGTTCAATAATAGTAACTTTTTGATCTGATTGTCTTTGAACGTTTCTATCAAGAGTCCAGATGGAGTTCTCTTTATGTCACTTGCGGCTGAGCCAGTACAGGTGCTAATACTCTTCTCTATTAGAAATAGGCTCACTTTATCACAATTTCCTTCTGTTCTTTTAACTGTAAGGTACATTAGTACCGCTGCGGTGTTCTTGAACAAGTCATCATAGTTTATTGTTCTTCCAATTTTCAGTCTTTTTGTATTGAATTCTAGGGTTTTGTTGTGGTCGAGGGTTTTAAGGGATCCCTCAATTCTAGGATCGCAAACTTCCATACGAGTCCCGCGAAGTTTGCTATCACTCGTAGCAATGTCTGCCAGCGGTGCC